CTTCTGGTATCTCTTGAAGATTTATCCTTGAGATTTTTCTTTTAGTCCACAGATTAGGATATGAAAATGCAATGATTTTTTTTATTTATTTATTTGAATGTCATGAGATCTATTTTGATTTTTATAACTATTTTGGAGTATGACTAGAAAAATATAATTTGCGTTGACTATATATGTGGAAAGGAAAATAACTTCTTATGTCTATTTTTTATTTTTCAATAGACAATCAGATTATATGTAGTAAATCTCATATTACTGTTGGAGATTGCACCATATGATGATAATTTACTTTTCTGATAATGGCAAAATTATAAGTTAATCATGAGGACATGGAAGTTTGAAATAGGTAGGTAGGTAGGTAGGTAGGTAGGTAGGTAGGTAGGTAGGGTAGGTAGTAGGATAGATAGATAGATAGTAGGTAGATAGATAGATAGATAGATAGATAGATAGATAGATAGATAATAGATAGATAGATAGATAGATAGATAGATAGATAGATAGATAGATAGATAGATAGATAGATAGATAGATAGATAGATAGATAGATAGATAGATAGATAGATAGATAGATAGATAGAAATAGATAGATAGAGAAAGAAGATAGATAGATAGAGAAATAGATAGATAGATAGATAGAGAAATAGATGAATAGATGAATAAATAGATTAGATTAGATTGTATAAAAAGATAGATAAGTTGGTAGATAGGTATGTAGGTAGGTGAGTAGAAAGATAGATTTAAAAGTATATTGGTTGACAGACAGACAGACAGACAGACAGACAGACAGACAGACAGACAGACAGACAGACAGACAGACAGACAGAAGACAGACAGACAGACAGACAGACAGACAGACAGATGGAAATAGAGAGAAAGAGAGAGAGAGAGAGAGAGAGAGAGAGAGAGAGAGAGAGAGAGAGAGAGAGAGAGAGAGAGAGAAGAGAGAGGAGATTAGAGATGGATGGTTAGAGAGATGGATGGTTAGAGAGATGGATGGTTAGAAGATGGAAGAGATGGTTTAGAGAGATGATGAGAGATGGATGGTTAGAGAGATGATGGAGATGGTTAGAGAGATGGATGGTTAGAGAGATGGAAGAGATTTAGAGAGATGAGAGATGGATGGTTAGAGAGATGGATGGTTAGAGAGATGGATGGTTAGAGAGATGGATGGTTAGAGAGATTGATGGTTAGATAGATAGATCGAGAGAGAACTATAGGAATTGTTTGCTATGATTGTTTTCACATGATTTCTTTGACAGGCCTTCAGAGTACCTCAATAAGATAAATCTATACTTTTATTCTGGGCTTTGATTTAAGAAAAAAATATTCAGGTATGATATATAGGCATGATTTATATATTATTAGTACACAGCATCTACTTGTATTTTATAGTGAAGATTAAGGTAGTAAAGTTTGTTGAGTGGATTTATGGGAAAATGGTGTATGAATATACCCAGTACTTAAAATGTAAAGATAGAAAGGGGATTTTAAGTGTAGATGATTTTTGTCGTAATGAAAATATTTTCTGTGAGTTTCTTGAAAAATTTACCCTGATGCTATTTAAAAGATTAGAAGTTTGGCATGAAGATAGTATGAAATTACAGTTCATGTTTTTGTAAATTACATTTGAGGAATAACTATTTAAACAGGGATAGGATATTTTAAAATAGGGCAGTTTTGTTGACACTTGGATATTGATGTAGAATCAGCTGAAGACGGCAAGTCACTGATACCACAAAACTGGATGGTTCCTCTCTCGAAGGAAGTTGTTTTAGGGTCGGCCTATAATTATATTTTACCAACTGTCAAGACCCCACCTGTGGAGTTGCCTGCTTGCATACTTGGGACTCTATGTCCTTGAACACAATACCGTTTGTCTGAGGTCTTGTTTAGCTTCCTCAGCCATCTGTGCAGTAAGTGATAAATATGATAAAGCACTTGCATTACCCAGGGTGACTCTATAGACATACATAAAGGTCACCTGAAGCAAAGGGGTTAGATGGAGAGTGGAAAATACTAACCAGAAAAGAACAATACCTAAGCTTATAGGATTTTGGTTGGCCTATTTTATCTTTGCTGTGTAAAAAAAAAAAGAAGAAAAGAAAGGAAACTGTGGTCTTAACTATCTCGGTTGTTATCAGAGTAGAATAGGATATTGATTTGATGCTATATATCTTTTAGGGCAACTTTTCTATTAAATTTGAGAAATTCATTATGTTGTTTTTATTTATTTCCAGTCTGCAATCAAGGCAAAACTAGTGGAGCTTGGTACCTATGTCGGTAAGTAAATTTGTTGCAGTATAAATGTTTTGGATAAAGCTGACTAATAAAAAGATTTAACTGCTTGTACTTAGGAAAGAAAGTGAAGACAATATTGTAAACTTTTCCAAAATATTGCTTATGTTGATATACAAAATCTGCTTTGCTTTAGATGAGGAACTACCAGACTACATCATGGTGCTGGTGGCGAACAAGAAGACGAAGGACCAGATGGACGATGATCTGAGTCTCTTCCTGGGCCACAATACTGAGCGCTTCACATCCTGGCTCCACCATGTACTTCAAAAGCTCAATGCGGCTGCTCTTTTGCAAGGTCAGTCAATAAACCTTCATTGAAAATTTACAAATGGGGAAACCCTTACTCTTGTATTTCTTTAATCTTTTCTTATGATTTGTCTCTTGAATTTCCAACTTTTATTTATGTTGTGTATGTTTGGCATGCAAATGGAAATTCAGAGGGTTATCATAATATTTTAAGTGTATATTTTTTGCGTGGGAATTTAGCGTATATTGTATATATTGAGGTTTAATTATGCATATTTTCAGTGTGAAAGACATTATTGTATATCGTTATTATGAAGGTCTATTTTTTCCGCTAATTACCCTGTTCCAAAAGAATAAGAATATAGTAATGTGAGTTAGATAAGTTAAAAAGTTATATATGTTTGGATGTTATATTATATTTTTTTTACTTTCTAGTCACAACACCACAAACAGATGACACAAAGAAGAAAGATGAAGAAGAGAAGAGGAAAGAAAGAGAAGAAGAGAAGAAAAGAGAAAGAGATGAAGAGAAGAAACGTGACAAAGCAGAAGAAGGTAAGAGAACAAAAGATGAGGAGAAGAGGAAACTAAAGGAGAAGGAAAAGGGAGAGAGGAAAAGAAAGTCTAGTGAGAAGAAGGATGATAAGAAGGAGAAGAAACTAAAGAAATCAGAGTCTCCAGAATCTCAGGATAAATTAGTTAAGGAGAAGAAGTCTGTCGTTGAGCCCGTGAAGGCCACCAGGGCCAAAGAGGTCAGCAAGGAAAAGGAGAACAAGGAAAGAGTCAGAATAACGGCTCCTCAGGACGAACCAGCCTTGGAGAAAAGCCAAGCCACAGTAACCTCCACAGTGGGTACCATTGGGGGCAAAACTCTGAAGAAGATCAAGCCGCAGCTGAGGGGAAAAGTATCATCGGCAGACATTTTCCGTGCCGAAGCTGCGGGCGGAGGGGAGACGATGAAGGAGGAGGAGGAGGAAGAAATTGAGGAGGACATGCTTGTGCTTAGAGCAGATATTGGTAAATACTTCCAAATTGGTTGTACCATTCAGCAGAGGGTGATTTCATAATCCGTAAGATTGGCAGAAAGGAAGTATTGTGTATTATTTTAACAATTTTCTTTCTTCACCTCCTTTTAATAAGTAATTTTTTTTTTCTGTAGATGAGTTAGGTCTCGAACTGGAAGAGGAGCCAGCACCAAGAAAGACCAGAATTGACCAGAAACAAAAGAATGCAGCCGCAAAACCAGAAGTAAGAGCAGAAGTGAAAGCAGAGGCCAAGGTTGAATCCAAAGTAGAACTTAAGACAAAGACAAAATCCAAGGCCGAGCCTTCCAACCCCCCAGCCCGACTGTCTGCTAAGGAGAGACTGGGAACATCCGTTGCACCAAAGACAGAACAGCCTAAGGAGAAGGTACTTTTGTCACTGGGAGTTTTTAAGTTCATGTTATTATATTTGATATTACTATTATTATTATTATCATTTTTAGATTAAAGAGAGTACTTTAGTTTCATTTATTTTGTGGGATATAGATTTAACTATAGTTCTATAATATTTGCCAACTTATAAGGATATTGGCATTTATGAAATAAGTTTCAGTATAAATTTGATGGAGTAATGACTTAGAAGAAAACCTGAAAGGTCAATACCCTGCTTTATTTATCTAACTGGGAGATAATATCCCAATAAAAAATTAATTTTCTTTATTTTATTGCAATATTTTAGATTATTGAAGTATAGGATCTGATTAGAAGTAAACTTTTCTTTGTGAAGACTTCATTTATGACCATTTTGATGTTAGTAAGAGTCCTTCCTGGTGATCTTGTTATAGCTATAACCATTATAGATTAAAGATAGTATAGTACAAATGAGGCTTCTGTGAAGTAATCATTGCTGTCAAATAAACATGAACAGTAAGGTAAATACCTTATTTTGGTATTAAGATCAGCTAGGACTTAACCCATTGGTCGCGGTATTATGCAACATGGCACGTAGTCCCCTAGTTTTATTTATTTTCGACTCGGGCGGCGCATGGGACCGCACTGGAGTGTGCGCGCGTGGCGGTGCTGCCTTCCCTCTTTCGCGCAAATGTGTTTGTTTATTTATATCTGAGAAAAATTAAGTATGCAAAAATCTGCAAAAATTTGCAAAAACCCTTGCAAATAAATGCAAACATGCAAACATATGTAAATGCGCTCAGAAAGAGTGGCGGGCCTGGTTTTAGCACGCGCAATAGGCGAACAACTCATTTGGCGGTAAACAGCCCATTGCACACGCGGGCCTGGGGGTGGTGGGCCTGGGCCCTGTAAGGCCGCAAGGGGAATGCCGGCTTGGCAGCTGATATTCCCTGGCCCACTCAGCTCCCATGCCGCACGGCCGCCCGCTGCTCGAAGCGATCGGCTGTCAATTGCACGGTGCATCATATGATGCCATCCGCAGCCAGTGTTTCATTTCGAAGCACTTGCTGCATTCTCCATATTAGTTGAAGATTTGGATAAAGAAAAGACCAGATAGTATCACAAATGTGCCTTTATGAATATTTTTTGTATTTAGGTGAATAGTTTGAAAAAGGCCTTTCATTAAGAACAAACCACAAAATTATAGTTTTTCAGCTGCAGTAGAGTAACTTTATTTTCAGAGTATTGATTTGACATCATTCTTTATTTTAGGTGTCTGTATTAGATCGCTTAGGAAGTTCAACGTCAGGTGGTCGTCGCGTGATCAATTTGCGAGAGGAATCAAGTTTCCCTCCTCGTCCCGAGCCTTCCTCTACCACAGCTAGTAGTGGCATGGCTCGTGCTGTGTCTAGTGCCATAACTTCAGCTCAAAGATCTGTGTGTGTGTTGCCTTCATCCACATCTTCATCTGGTAAAAAGTTAGAGGTAAGAGAATTTAGTCACTAGTGGTTATTATGGCATTTTGTTCTGGTAAATGTAGATGCACTTTTTGTTGTTTGGTTAAGATTATTAGTAGACAAGTTATTTTTACAGGAAAAAATTACTGAAATTTGTTTTTCTTTTCGTTACTAGGCCCGCGTGAGACCTCTCATGTCAAAGCACATAGAATCAAGAAATGAATCTTCAAGCAGAGATAGAGAAGGGGGGCAGTCAAGAGAGGTTTCGAGCCGATCGACCTCCAGAGAAGTTCCCAGCAGAGCGACATCAACAAGGGTGGTGTCAGCTGTAGGAGCAGTCCTAAAAAGACCACATAGTCAGGTGAGTGTCCAGGATGAAAATTATTATAAGTTACTTTTTGGTGCTTACAGGTATATTTATAAGTTGTATTTATCAGGGTAAAGGGGAGCTCATTGTATTAGGATACTTTTGTAATGATGATAGGAGGAATCTTCTTTTTATATTTATCACAGTTAGAGAAATTTATTTTAGTTAATTTTTTACGTTTCAGGTGGATTCAGATGATGAGGGATATGACCCCAAGAAGCCACAGTTGAGTGGCATGGCCAGCAAAGTAGAGGTACTGTCATATGATCTTTAAAAGTTTTTATTTAGCAGATACTTTTATCTATTTCTTTATGTATAATGTGTAACTGACTTATTGAATGGGATAATACACCACAATATAAGAATGATATTAGTCAAAAAGGTTAATTCTATATCCAATAATTGTACTGGACATGACAATAAAGGAACAGGCATACAGAGCCACAGGATGATGAGGATGAGTAGCTAGTTCCCTTATACATTGATTGAACCAAATGACACTTAAAATGGGCTTGAACCCTAAACCTGGCAATTGTAATCCAGTTCTCTTTGCTCTTCACTTAACTGTGCCACCTCTTGTAAAACTTCCTTTTTCAATTCAAGTGGCTACCATTTTTTTTTATTTCTCAAAGGTACATATATTTTTGGAAGCAAAACTAATTGCATACATCATTCTCTCATTCACAGGTAACTCCAAGGCCGAGACGCCCAGGTGCCATCCAAGCGAATACAGCTCTTATCCTTCGAGCAATGGCTGACGCACACAAATCCGTAAACAGACCATCAAGGAACTTACCAACAAAAGCAGAGCCTACTCCAAAAAAACAAAAGGTAGATCCATACTGTTATTGTTAAAGTTGATTGTAGTTCTGAATGTTCATGTTTGCACAGGATTTAGAGATTGATTTAACCTCTTGAGTCCTTGTTACTGACTCGCAGTTATTCATAGTCTACCTTTTTTCGTTCTTGATGATTATTCAATACTCCTAGAGTCTTACCATCTCTTTCTTCTTTTTAGGGCGAGTTGTTTACCCGAGGGTACCGTGAACGAGAACAGGCCCGTCAAAAGGATCTCCCTACTGAAGGTGAGCTAAGGGTCAGAAAGATTGCCATAACAGTCCCTAATGCAACAAGAAAGGAGAGTGAGGAGCAGCAGAGGGACGAAGAAGACAAAGAGGAGATGATGCCGGGAATCACCAGCTCTTCAGATGCACTGGTGAAGGAAGAAGCAATGGAAGATGTTGCTCAGCAGGAGGAAGTCTGTGATGAAATGGTTCCTGGTAGGTCAATTTTTTCCTCATTTCATTTCTTATTTTCTGTGAAGGATGATGAATATATTAGCAAATGTCTGCTTATTGTATATATCATTAAGGTTGTTTATAAGGAATGTTGTTCATGTATACAACTCGCCAAGAATGTTAGTGAGTCATGGATAAGGATAAAAAACTAACACAAGAAATTCCTATTTTTTTCCAGAAGTTCCTTATGGTATGGAAGAGGTTGAGGAAGTTGAAGTAGAAGAGGAGGTAGTTGATGAAGGAATTGAGGAGGACCAACCTCTCCCTGGCTCAGAGCCCCCACAACCAGTAGTGCCTCATGTTGCTGGGTAAGACATCTTTTGTATAGATTTTTCTAAAGTTTACAGTTTCCAGGCATTGATATTTGTGAAATGTTCCGTAGTATTTCTTGCATTTAGGCATGATCAGCTATTGTTATTTAATTGTGTTATATTTATATTATACTTATTAAGAAAGTGTAGATATGTGAACAGAATAGAAATCTTTTCATAGTTTTTGCCAACAGTGTTGCTGTTATGTAGTTATATATGCAAATACAGGCACTAGGAACTGAACGTTTCTGTTGAGAGGGAATTTGTATGGTGTTGTATATGTGATGTTATCAAACTGCATCCATGTTTTGCATATTTTGTGTAGTTCCTCCATATCCCAAGAAAGATTGAAGATTTGTTTGTATATCAGATTTTCAAATGAAGTTATTCATATTGGTATTTAGCAATACTGCTGTGGATAGGCTTCTGTATATGACATTGGGTGGTTATTCTACCTTATTTGATTAAGCAAAGATAACAGGACCAAGGACCTAGTTCCTGCACAGGTGTCACTTCTTAGGTGTAAAACAGGACTGGTGTTAGTGTGGAACAGTCAATATGTAGTTTATTTTTATATGTGTGCGTGTCTTTGCTTTTTACTGTACTGGGATATACTAATTTCTGCATCTGCTTCTTAGGAGAGAGAACACCAAGTTCATAGTGACACTTGAGGGAGTGGATACCGATGTTTTTGAGATGAGGGATGATCCACCTGACATTCGGTCCCGCCTTGGAGCTCGCCCCATCCGGAGTGACAGCCTTGAGGAAGTCGAGGTAAGGTTGATTTGTGTCTCTTGCTTAGCAAAGTAATTCTTTTAGATGCTATGAACTGAAAAAAATGTTTTAATGCTTTTATAGTGCTTTATCTTAAACAATTTTGTGTTTTATGTTCAGGAGTACATTGAAGAAGTAGAGGAGTGGGAAGAAGAGGAAACTTCGAGTGACATGACTCGGGGAGGCTCATTACCTGGTGTTGGTCTTTTAGCTGGTGTCAAACCTCGGCTCAAGAGTGCTATTTCAGTGTCATCAGGGCAAGATGGTGGTAGGTTATAATGGCCTTTTGTCTAATTCTTTAAGTTGTAGAGGTTTCAATTAAATGTGAAAATACTTGGTTTTTATACTCTTATACTTGATATTATTACTAGTATGAATATAAATGCAACTGCAATCATTAACACAATGCTCTAACTGTCAATACATTCTGTTGTTATTAACACATATTACTATCATTCTTATTATTGTATTTAATGCTGCTAATATTATAACTGATTCGGCGCTTTTGTTACAGTGTCTTAACTTCAATCTTTATTTCTATCGCTCTAGGTGGAGGCAGCAAATTTGAGGAGCGCTGTAGGTACTGGCCAGCTTGTAAGGCGGGAGATTCGTGTCAGTACCATCATCCCACTCTTCCATGCATGTAAGTAAATATGAAATGAATTATATATTTATCTTTATCCATTTAGTTATTCTAGGCATCTTACATTAATGTATCTGGTTCTTATCAATTCTTTTGCTTGACAGTGAGTTGTATCATGATTTTTGTTTTGGCAGATATTTTGTAAGTTCAAATGGGGTATGCATTATTTTATGATTTTTACTAGATGTATTACTACTTGTGAATAATTCAGTAACATGAGAGGGAAGAAGATTGAGGGTTTCTGTAGCAGTTATTCCTGGCATCTCAGTTATTCTCATGAGATAAAAATCTGAAGCTGGTTAATGACATAAATTTTCACCTGGATGCTTAATTGGGAAATAATGGGATGTATTATTGAGGTACATGTGGCTAGGATAAAAAAAAGAGTTGAATGATAGAGGAGAAGTAATATAGAAAGATCAGAGAAACACTCAGGGTTCAGTCCTGGCATACATTCGTACTTTTTTTTTTTTTTTTTTTTTTTTACTGAAATTATGATTTAAGAAGTATATTGATTAAGTAATTATCATTCCCCAGATCCTTTCCATCTTGTAAATTTGGTGATAAGTGCCTGTACATACATCCTAACTGCATATACGATGCGGCTTGCACACGAAGGGGCTGCCCGTACACCCATGCAAGCTCAAGAAGCTTAGCCCTCACAACAGGTATGATTTTTCCTTGTATGTAGGTTATTTCCTCAGTAAAAAATGCCACGTATGTAAGTGAGAAAACTTGATTATTTTATATTTCGTGGTATACTTTATGAAGTTCAGACTGTACCTGATGTGAACCTATGTAGCTGTATGTGAACCTAAAATAGATGAAAATTGCATGTTATTGATAATGATATTTCTATACAACATTGACAAAAGGAGAATGTAAAGTCTTTCATGTTAAATATATTTATTTATTCATGTATGTAAACAAAGAACATGTCAAGTTGCATATTAGGGAACCATTATTTTTCTTTGTATTAGTTTCAGCAAAATATTACTTTTAGTTGTCAGGATTTTTATTACTAATTGTTAAAGAAAAATTTTGTTAGATCATCCCAAATTTCTTTCTTATTTTATGTGTGTGAATTTCCTACTTTGCTCCTCTAGGATGTTTTATATTATGTAGCTAATTGATTTTTGTTTTAATTCTTTGAGCATTTAAGATGATCATTTTATGCAGAATGGTTAATTACAAGAAATTCACTTGGATCACATTGTCATGAGTAATAAACCTTTTCTTTTACTCACAGCTGCCGTCAGCATTAAACACAAAATACCCCCAAGTAGACCTTCGAAGATCAAGTGTAAATACTTCCCAAAATGCACCAACATGTCCTGTCCATTTCTTCATCCAAAGGTAAGGAAATATAAGATTTGCAATCGGTGGTTTCAGTTGTATGTATAGGGATTAACGATAATTTTCTGTCCTCAAATATTGATTGTATCTCTGCTCAGTGTTTCTTGTTATGCAAATTAAACTGCATTGATAGAATAGACAATTGACTCTCTCAGGTAATGACTAGAGTGGCAATCTTTCTTTCCTCTGTATTTCTGTTAATTGTACCAACATCCTTGTTTACTCTGCAGGCGTGTTTCTATGGCATGTCATGCACCCAGGCCAGCTGTCCCTTCACCCATCCCGATGTCACCATGCGTTCTAAGTTGAAGTGGATTGCCCCCAAAAGCACAACGCAGGTCTCGACAGCATCTGCGCCAACAGATTTGATTAAAATACAAAACAAAGAAAAGACCGTAAAAGAATAGTGTGGCCTTCAAACCACGAAGATTGATAACAGATTCTATTTGTATATTCTAAAGTCATTGCTTTGTAGCTGAGTAGCTATGTAGGTTATTTAGATAGATTATCAGCTGTATTTAATCAGAGTGTTAGGATTGGTAGATGTTTGATAGATATAAGTTTTCAGAATGGTAGATATATCTTTTTCGAATGTTTGATGACAATTCATTGTCAGGGGATTAGTGTTGTTGATAAATACTAAGATAAAATTATACATTAGAATGGCAGTATGAAAATACACACAACCAGTGGTGATTTTCTTCTGAGAAATGAAATAGTTTTACTTCAGTAAGTGTAAAGCTAATATGGAGAGAACAAGAAACAAAAGAAGAGGGAAAAATAGGCTTCAGTCAGAATATGGTCTGTTAAAGAATATAACTAATGTTTATATTTAGTTGCAATGTTTGTACAAGAATTAAGAATGGAGGGTTTTAGAGTGCTGAAAGTTCATAAGATGAAGACTTTGTACAGAAAATTCTCTCTTCTTTCCTTATTATTTACACAGACGAGGGTCATGCCATAGAAATGAAGTAATATTTCATTTTCTCAAGAACAGATAGTGTGTAGTGGTTATTTTGCATATTGCCATTTTTAATGATATATGTTGTTAAGTCAATTTTACATAGGCTGTGTTCAGGCAGTGATGTGCTCGTACAGAATTAAGGAGTTTTTATCTTCTTAATAGATAATATCATGCAATCATGTGAGGATGAACAAAGCTATCTAAAGATATTCATTACGTCTTTCTTTATCTTCTTCTCTTGCAATCTTCTTCCTCTTCTTAATGAATAAAATAGACTTATTTGGGTCATACAGGGACTTACAAATTATGTCAGAGGCTGAAATATGAGAGACAACATTTTAAATTTTGGTTGTTATTGTGCAGAACTGTTAAGGATGCTCAATGTAATTGATAGTGCTTTAGCAGCTAAATCATTTCCTTGTTTCTAAAGAATTGACAGTAGTTGGTGTCGATGATAATAAGTTTACCATAAAAGTTTCCTGTCGAAAATCTCTTTTGAAAGTCACATAGCATTATTTGAATGTAAGACTAGCTGAATTATTTTGGAAAAAAAATCCACCCCACAGTAGGTCTCTCAAGTGATATACTAAGGTAGTCACAGATTAGTGAGAAGTTTAAGAAGTATCTATTGGTACTACACTTTGAGACATTAGTGGTATCAATTTACTGTTATATGCTTTATAGGAATCAGTAGATTAGAAATATAATAATATAATTTTGTATGAGAGATCTTGTTATTCTCAAAGTGATGACATGCCAGGGTTATTAGCATAAAGATAGGCTTTCATCTCATTAAGAAATTATTCATCTACTGATACTTTTTTTTCCTAACCTTTAAGTGTACTTTTATTTCCTTGAGTCCTTATGGTAGTAATTCAGGATTTTGCAAGTCTCTGTGTTATGGGTGTTCTAGAATTCACAAATCTTATGGAGTCCTTGCACAATTATAAGCCGTTTCTTTTCATTGTTCTTGTTTCATACAAAGTATCACATTTAGGTTAGTGTCACTTAGGAACAGGTGAATAAAGAACAAGAAAAACAGTTTTTGATTTACTAATGAATGATGCAATTTGTTTTTGTAGTCGAACATTCTGTTGTACTGGAAATAAGTTTCATTTTTGAAGACATAATATTTCTAAGTAAAAGTAAGTATAGCTAAATGATTGTAGTTTATCATAGAGTATCGCATCCAACTTCTTTCCTATGATGTATTTAAATAGAATAGAAACAGTTTTACTAAGTTCTTCAACTCTAGGTTTGTTAATGAATATATGCTGGTGGAATACACTGCAGCCTTTGTCGATGTCCATGTTTTTAATTAAGTATATATCTCATGAACTTGTAAACTTACTGAATTATGTTTTATGATGTAAATTTTGATTGGAGAATCTCGGAAGGAAAAGCTTGCTAAAGGAAGTTAGGAATTAGTTATTAAAATTTCAGAGTGTGTTTTCTGTGCATTGGTTACTGGTCATACTGGTCTCAACATCCTATGTTTTTGTCTGTTTATATATCTGCATGAGCAGGAAGTTTTGATTGACTGTTAAGAGACGCATAAAGATATACAACTATGTACATAATTAAGAGAGACATATTTGAATGGTGTAAATAATATGAAGTATGATTCTGTTGTTCCTGTCATGGTTAGGGTGATTATAAAGTTCACTGGCATTAATTATTTTAGACAGAGTTGAACTTTTTCTGACAGAAATACTTGTCAGTGTGTGAGTTTGGGTGGAGAAAAATGTATATATTTGTGACAATATAAGATGTTGATTTTGATTTCAAGAAAGTGGTTTTCTTTTATATTTGATTACCTCACATATGTTCTACATTGTTTTTGTCTTCAGTTAATACTTTTGGTTCTTTTCTGTATTTTTGTTATGGAATACACACTCACTGGTTTGGTTCTTCTATATGCCAAGTACGTCTACATTGTTATGCTATATATATCAGAACGTTCTTAAAAAGATGATGATAAGTTTATGGTTAAACTGATAGCTGACCTGAAAGTGAAAGAACAAATATATAACTGACTGTAATCAGCACTGTTGGTATGTGGTTGCTGAATGAAATTATAACTTTGTTGTGATGTTTTGTGGGATTTTGCAGCTTTTAACATGATTAAATGATCACATTTATAAGGGCTTGCATATAAAGTTTGGCTTGAGTTTTTCTTTTAGCAAGTGAATGGGTAGATTGTTGACCCGGTTTCCACATCACTTGAAAACCTATTTTGAGAATATTTAAAATGATTGTTGTTGTTTTGATTTCTCTTTCAAAATAAGACTTAATTTTAAAGAGATGGCTTATGTGTTATCTTTTTGTTTTCAAGTTCTCTGATTGTAAAGTCAACAGCTATACAGCTTATGGAGCAATAGTGTAAAATCAGCATACTTATGTATAAGTTTTCTGTTTTTATGTCATGCTTACATAGCTTGTGCTCACATAATGTTGGGATATGGTGAATCAGTTTATTACATGCATTGCAGAGGAATCCTTGATGAGAAACGTCTTAGGATAAAGTAAAGCATTTCTTTACCCACTGTGTAATTTCTTGATTGTCAATTTTAGCTGGGGATACTTGTTGAGTTTCGTTTAGGAAATGGTTAGGGTTGTTCTACTTTTGTTTAGTAATTTTTACTCCTTACATGTATTTAGTGACATCACTCAGTACTCACTTTCTTTTTTTTCTGATGCAAAGATGTGCGTGTGAAGTTGATGTTAATTGGCTGAATGCAACACACCTAAATAGTAATATATTTTGGTTAATTTTCATCACCGACCCAGTAACTATCATCCTGTCATTCATAGATATCCCAATTAAAATCCTGGGAATAGGGATAGATATTTTGATGGAAAATAATACAGACAGGATTGAACTATTGCAATCATCAGCATGTACAAATACTGAGAACAAGTGCAGAAAAAGTGAATATGCTGTAAGTGGTGTTAATTCCTTTATAGTTGCTGTTTAGCTGATTTTGTGAAAAGCTACATTGCTATTTTATGTAAGTATAACTGCATTTGAATGAAGGGAATAACAGCAACAATAATAATGTACTCTGGATACAGTTAAAGTGTGGAACTGATATATTTTAGTGTGACATCTAGATTGGTTCTACTGAGCAACTGCCATATTTTCATGGAGGCATGATTTAGTGATAGAATTAGAAGTAGATTATATATAAAAAGCTATAGGGAAGTTCATACTTTAATGAAAATAATGAAGAAACATAATATGTTAGATATAAAAAAAGATTATCAGTTTTGCTTTAAGATCTGATGTGACACAAAAACTTACACACAAGATTAATCTTAAAGATTTCATTTTGTAGATTTGTACTCTGGTTTTAAGGATTAAGTTAATTTCTGATTTTTAAAAATAACTGAATATATGTCATGGTAATAATCTTATGTAAGCCAGAAACTTTTAGTTTAAACACTTTAAATTGATAGTTAACAATATTGTAAGCTGAGAAAAGGTGTTAGGTCAAGTGTAAAGAAGGCACCTGAACTACTGCTCATTGTTTCACAAGAAATCACAAACTAGCAGTATAAATAACTGATCAGTAAGGCTGAAACTCATTTTTTCCGTGTGAGAGGAAGAAACCATGGAATTACTCTTTATTTTTGTTTATTTACCAAGCTGCAGTGTAGCTGGAAGTATACACAAAATGAATGCTTAAGATTTGCTGAAGAATTACATGCTGTTGTGAAAAGATATTTGTTTATATTCAAATTGTTATAAGAATGGAAGGCATAGACTAGATTTGGAAAGTTAGGTTGTTTTAATTTATTAAGGCAGTGCGTTTTTTTTAGAAAACAAATGAAAGCAGTTTTCATTTCTTTTCTTTACCCAATGCATCTCATTATGTGTATTCCCACTTTATCAGTCTAGTCTACTTAAAGAATGGTTTTGTAATAATAGATATGTGAAATGTCCCCATGTGTTTTTCTATCCAGGCTGCGATGTTGAGATGTGTCTCTTTTGCAACAGAAAATAGAAAAAGGAGGAGGCAGAAGCAGGGTACAGTTGTATCAGTCTGTGCACATTCTCTCTCTCTCTCTCTCCTCTCTCTCTCTCTCTCTGTCTCTCCTCTGTCTCTGTCTCTCTCTCTCTCGTCTGTCTTCTCTTCTCTCTCTCTCGTCTCTCTCTTCTCTCTCGTCTCTCTCTCGTCTCTCTCTCTCTCTCCTCATCACTCTCATCTCTCTCTCTCATTCATCCTCTCTCCTTCTATCTCTCGCTCTGTCCTCTCTCCTCTCTCATGCTCTGTCCTCTCTTCCTTCTCTGTCACTCTCCGTCGCTCTTCTCTCTCCGGTCACTCTCTCCTCTGCTCTCTCCTTCTTCCCTCTCTCGTTAAGCCCTTCGTGCTCTTGTCTTCTTCTATTCTCCTCCTCTCTCTCTTCTTTCCTGGGTTGTGGCTTTAATCTTTTGTGCTACCTCTTAGTTTCGTCCCATCTCTATCATTCATTGTTCGGGTTTTGCTTTGGCCCTTCCTTCCTCTCTCTTCCAATATCCGTCTCTCCTACTATGGCTCGTCCCATATCCGGTCCTCTCTTCTCTCGCTCGTGCTCGTGCAAGACTCCTCGTTTTTTCGCTCGGGTTCCTCTCGTGATCTGCATCTTTTTCTCTGGTCTTCCCCGGTGCCGCACCACTCCCCCTCCCTCTCTCTCCTGCCCTCCTCCTGCCCGGTCTCCCTACGCAGGTTGCCAACTAAGGCGCGCTTGGGGGCGTTTAAGCGTGCGTGGGGTGTATTGGTCTCTCTTGTCTTCCTCCTCCTACCTCATCGGTCTTCACTCTCTCTCCTCCACCTCGTAATGGGTGTTGCTCTCCGACCTGCGTCTCCGTCTCTCGTCCTCACTACTCTCCGTCTCTGCTCTGCTACTGCGGTCGGTCGTCGTATTATTCGGTGCTCTTGCATGCGTCCTCTCGGGCTCTGCCAGTGCTCCATCGATCTCGTCGATCCCTTCTACGTCGTCTCTCCGTCATCTCTTCTACTCCTTCATGCTTTCTCTCTTCTCTCGTTCCTATTTCTCTCTCTCAATGTAGATGAATTGTATATACGGTCCTTTCCTCTTCTCTCCCTTTCTCTTTTTCTCGTTTCCTTCTCAGCGCCGGTTTTCTTCTTGTCCCGTTCCTCCCTCGCCACGAGCTTGCCTCCCTCACCGTCGTCATCATGGATCTCGTCTCTCACCAATCCTCTCAAATCTCTCGCTGACTCTCTCCTCCACATCCTCGCCTCCGCTAGTTCGGCTCGCTCTCACTCGTCTCTCCCTCTCCTCTGTCTATATCATGCGTCCATCAATATCTTATCGATGCCGATCTTCCGTCTCTACTCATCGCCCTTGCTTCTCTCTCTTCTCCTCTATCTCGATCTCTCTCGCTCTCCTCTCCTCTCTCTCTCTCCTCCTCATCCGTCGTCTCTCGTCGGTCTCGCTCTCCTCTCCTATCTCCGACTGCGAACACCTCTCTCTCTCTCTCTCTCACTCTCTCTCTCCTCTCCCTCCTCTCCTCTCCTCTCCTCATACTCTCCTCTCACCTCTCCTCTCCTCTCCTTCGCTCTCCTTCTCTTCCTCTCCTCGTCCTCTCCTCCTCCTCTTTCTCCCTCTTCGCTCTCCGATAATCTCTTTCTCTCTCTCTTCTCTCCCTCATCTCTCTACCTCTCTCCTTCTATATATGTGTGTGTGTGCTGTGTGTGCTGTGTGTGTTGTTTCGTGTGGTGTGTGTGTTTTGGGTCGTGTTGGTGTGTGTTGTGGTGTGGTGTGTGTGTGTTGGTAGTGTTTGCCATATGTGTGTCGTAATTTATGTGTGTGTGTGTGTGTGTTGTGTGTGTGCTGTTGATGTGTGTGTGAACTGTGTGTGTTGTGTTGTCGGTGTGTGCTGTGTGGTGTTGCGTGTGTCCGTGTTGTGTGGTGGTGTGTGTGTGTGTGTGTGTGTGTGTGTCGTAGTGTGCATATGTGTGTGTAAATTTAATGTGTGTGTAGTGTGTGTGTGGTGGTGTGTGTGTAGTGTGTGTGTGTGTGTGTGTTGTGTGGCATGTGTGGTGGTGTATATATATATTATGAATATAATATATTATATATATATATATAATAATTACTACTATATATAATACTAATTATATATAATATCTTATATAATATTTTATAATAATTATTATATATATTAAAGTATATATACCTCATATTATAGTATCATATCTTCAGTTCTTCTGTAGCTTGTGTATGTATCAAATTAGGGTCATATACCTATATTAATAACTATATATACTATCTACTATATCAAGTAACTATATACCTATACTATATACTATACTATATTACTACGTAACTGACCATAGATATGTATATATTCTTAATACATATAATATATATATGTGCTAGTATTATAGGTTCATATAAATATGTATATATATAGTAGATGATATATACATACTAGTAATATATCATATACAATATATACTACTATAAATATATTAAATATATTAGTATAATTTATACTTATATATATATATATATATATTATAAAATACACACACATATAATACTAATTAAATAATATAAATATTTCATACAATATATATTTTTACCTATAGGGATATACTATATATATATAACAATTATAATTGTAATATATATCACTGTATTTATATACTACTTATATATTGTATATATTATTATATATACATATTATATATATATATATAGTATATATATATTATATAGTAAATATATATGATAACACCATAAACATAACATATATATACTATATCACCTTAGCTACCCTTTACTACTATTTGAATAGTATCGTACTACTGGCCTGAGTATTGGTATATATATTTAATTATATAGGAAGTATAGTAATACTTAAGTTATTTTTATTAGTACTAGGGTTAAACTATTATGAGTATATATAATAGTATATATAATATATACTAGTCGTTAGGGTAGGTAGGTGGTAGTGCAGCAGCACACACACACGACAACACGAGAACACACACACACACACACACACGAAGCACACTACGACACGCCACACACAGCACACCAGCCACGCACACACACACACACACAATTCAGCATTTGCACACACACACACAGCAACACACACACACACACACACACACACAGCACACACACCACACACGACACGACATATAATATAATATATATTAATATATATAGTGATATATCTAGTCAATACCCGATATGTACCAGAACAAAAGTATGTATATTAGTATATTGTGGCCATTGGGTGATATATAGTTATGTGAGTATATTAAAGTGTGGTGAGCATATGAGCGTCAGATGATCGTATTAAGGAATCTCGTATACTAACGTAAGTAGAGCGGTGTATAGCCGGGGAGATGAATAGAGTAAGGTGTAGTTGCTGTGTGTTGTGGTGTGTGTGTGTGTGTTGTGTGGGGGTGATTGGTGGTGTAGTGTAAGTGTGTGGTGTTGGTGATGTGTGTTGGTGTGTGTGTGTGTGTAGTGTGTTTGTAAATATAGAAGTATATAAGAGATTGGATATATAAGTAGGGTAGTAGGTAATTTATAATAGGAATATGAAGTTATATTAAGCGTGGATAGCAATGAGTGGTTGAGGGGTGCGGGGTGTGCGTTGGGGAGGATGGAGATGGGACATTGATAGGGTAGGATGGAAGGGATTAGGGAAGGGGAGAACCGGAGAGAGATTAGAGAGAGGGGAGAAAGGTAAGGGGGAGGGGGGAGAGACTTAGGCCGTAGGTAGCGCGCCCCAAACAGTTTATGGGTTATAGACTTCAGGAGAGGTCGATGACAATCTCCTCACTCTGTCACCAACCCTAAGACGACGTAAATAACTACCACCTCACCTATCTCCCCTTCCATTCATCTCCTCGCCTATCATGCTCTTTTTCTCCTCACTTTTTTTTTTTTATATATGAGTATATAAATATATATATATAAATAACATATATAAGTTACTATTTCATAATATTCTATACATATAATATTTAATATATACTATCAATATACCATATACCATTTATTATAATAACTATGTATGAGACGACTGGATTTCCCTATATATAATATATATCACTTATTATACATATATACTATATAGTATATATATGTGTTGTGTGTGTTGCTGTGTGTGTTAGTGTGGTCAAGTGTGTGTGCTGTACTATATAACCTTTCTGCTGAGCGCCAGTTAAAGATAGCAGTGAGTAAACTCACTAATGAAGATAGTAATCAGAAGTACATACTAGTAGGGAGGTAGTGCATCATACATATTTATATATAGGGGTAGGGTATACTAAACTATTATGTATATTCTATTTTGGAATATACAACATGCAGATAGTATATATATAGTACACGAGACTACGTGAGGGTAGGCTCGTTGCTATTATTTTATAGTTTATTTACTATGTAATAAATACTAAATAGTGTAGTATCGATGCTGCGTACTACAATATAGTAGCTATTTGCCTCATATTAGTATTTAATATTATATAATTAATATATATATATGAGTATATAAGTAGTTGTGCCCAGTAGTTAGTAGGTTTGCTTATATAGATTTACTGCCTTCCATCTCCTCTCTGTTTCTACATCTCCCCGCCTCTCATATTCTCTTTCTCTTATGTCTTCTTCCCACTTTCCGCCTCTACTTGTCCTTCATCTCGTCATATGTTCCTTATTGCTTTTCCTTCCTCTTCACCTTTCGCTCCACATCCTTTCCTCTCCTTATACTATCATCACTCTTCTTCCTCTCCTCATCTCTGCTCGGTGTATCAGATACCGGATGTCATAACTTCTGACTACTACGACAGCTCTCGTCTAACTCCTCCTGCGCCTCCTTTCTCAGATCTATAATCTATATTATCTCTCTCTCTTTTCTCCCTCTCGTCTTTTCTAACCTGTCGCATCATCTTTTTCCTCTCTTTCTTCTCATC